AATAATATAAAACTTAATAATAATAAAAATAATCTTATAATTTTATAAAAATAATAAAATATTATCTTTCAGCAAGAAATATAATATATACCCGCGCGCACGATGTATAGACATATTTTAATATCAAAAATATATCCTTCCCTGATAAAATAAAAAAATATAGACAGAAATATTACAATAGAGAAAATGATGCATCTTATGATGTGCATGGTCAAAGATTACGACCTATTTTATTCAGTGTACGTATATCTCAGGATGTTTTAGAGAAGAGAGATCGACTAATGGTGATCGGGGCTGGTAATTCCTCTCGCGAGATAAACAGTATCCAGCGGCAGGTCTACGATATCGCGATTTACGAGTAGCTGCTCGGCGTATACGCTGCTACGCGCGTCGCATTAAATAATAATGCCAGTGATTGCTGCTAGAGCTGCCCGCCGAGACGAACTGTGAGCCAGTAAGAACGAGGAAGCGAGAGAGAGAGAGAGAGAGAGAGGGGGCGAGGGGGGAAACCGGTAAGGGCGGAGAAGACGCGTTGCCTCTATACCCCCGCCAGATATATCATCGCCTGGCAGTTATGTGTGTCATGAATTTTAGATTATCCTTGGATTAGATTAAGGCACGCGGAGGCCGGAAGGAGCGGCGACCCAGAGCAAGCGGCCCCTTGGCCCGCCAGTCAGTGCGCGAGGCTGAATTATTTCCAAATCTCGCACAGCATCCCCGTCCCTCCCTCCCGTCTCGATCGCGCCGTCGGAATTGTGGGATTGATCTGTTGCCGCGAGTTTTTCGCCGATGATCCGACTAAGCTGTTAGGGTGTTGAATTTCGACCTGATAATCTCTTAGAGTCACGTATAATGAAACTTTAACATCAAGGGAGAGATAAATATATGTATACAAAATAAATATATAATCAAATTCATCATTTTCGAATAATCTAACAAGAGGTAGAACGATTTATTAAAGTAAAGAAGGTATCTCTGTCTTTCAAGCAGATATTATACCGAAAGTATTATTCTAAATAGAAACATTTTTCTTTTTATAAATAATTTTATATGTTTCTTTTTGGATATATAATCGCGTATTTCTCTTATCCTTTTGTAGATAACATTATTACTATTATTTATATATATATGTAATTAATTAATATATAAAATTGATAATATTTTGATATAATAACACTGCCGATTCTGCAACATTTTCGAGAAATCACGTCCCCCCCTTGCGCATTCCCGATTATGTATTCCCCTCTTCATCCCCTCTGAGAGGATGAGAGGGCGGAGATAATTGATGACGGTAGCTGGTTTTCGTGGGACATTATATCGCAGTTACGAGTTTTCACTCCCCCTTCTCCCACTCGTGCGCCACGAATGCGCAATGTACGAACAACAGGATCTCGTTGTAGTGGGGAGAATATCCCAGGGGTGGTTTCCACCCCTTGCTGGCCCCACGTGACCCCGGCCAGACAAACGACGGCCAATTTACGAGCAATAGGAAAAACTTCTTAAAACTCGGATTAAAATGAGCGAAGAGGGGAAGAGAAAGGGAGAGAGAGAGAGAGAGAGGTGCTTTCCCTCCTTCGGCGCCCTCCGAATTATCCCGGGATACGAGAGGGTTTTATTTTATTCCTGAAATCGTCGCGGGGGTGAAAAGGGCGAATGGGGCTCTTGGCCCTGGCCTTGCGCCTTTATTATTATATCTCTCTACTGCTCGTGGATGAGGTGGAGCTTCATTATTTTTACTGTTACGCGAGTTACGGTAAATTACTGTTAATTCCATCTTCGTTTGTCCGAATTGTACTATTAATGTTCATATAATCGTCGATAATAATTTCACAACTCGAATAGACTCGTTTTTATATTGTTTCGTAAAAGTTGCTTAAAAATTTAAGATATTGAAATATAAAAAGAAAAATTGTGTCAAAGCTTTAAATCCGCTGCGATGGAGATATCTATGATATTATAATTAAAAGTTTTAACTAATCTTTATATTTTGATAAAGATCAGATGTCATTTTTAAAGTTATGCATGTTTTTTCGCAAAAATTCACGATAACCTTTTATGAAGACTGAAGAGGGAAAAAAATGTCATTTCATCTCTATTACTCTCTCGGAACGAAGTAATAGATTAATGAAATTTGGTGGAAATCGCCAAATTGATTACATAGATAACTGAATCGGCGCGTCTATCGATTAGTCGATTCGTCGTCGTGTTTTTACATAAACAAATCACTTCGATCAACTTGTCCCTTTAGCGGTGAGGTAATTTACAATATGAGTCGGTTCCATACGTTTCTTCTCAATACTTGCTGAGTATCTTGCTGTAAACGTATTAAATTTTAATGTGCTTGCGTATGTAGTAGATAATTGACACAAATATTACTTTAATTTAATTAATTTTAATATAATAAAAATATTTTTGACAATCTTTATATATTTTAAAAAACTTTATACTGAAATTTAGAAAAATTTAATATCGATTAACGCGAGATTGTAAGTTACCGTTGCAGAATGGAGCCTGCGGCCGTAAAACGACCGAATTATAGACTTTTCTTTTTTATGCACGACGGCTATAAAAAGCTTTTGGGTCGTATACGTTAAAGCAGTCGTTGTGCGCCGGCATTCTTTTTAATTAAAGTCGCTAATCAAATCACGATCACGCGACGTTGCTTCGACCTATCGAGGCGCGCGGATGGGACGATAACGATCCCCCGGGGATGGTCGGAATAAATCCGTGTTAACACAATTATCACTCTCTCCCCCGAGGTGCATGTCTGATTTATCCGCGAGCATGCACCGGAAGATGTTTCATATCGTGATAATTTTTCACAATAACGTGTTTCGAATACGGTAAACGCCGATATCTCCCATCGCGCGCGTATGTATGCGATAGTAAATACTTAATATCGTACCTCAGCATTTGCGTACTCAGGATATGATATATGTCGCGCGAGAAAGCCCTTTTGCGTTTAAAAATATGACATGTGATATATTAATCGCGCTGTAAAATGAGACACGAGCGAGCGCAATTTGCGTGGAAATGGGTTGGACGAATTACCAGAGACTCGAGGAACACGCGCGCTTTTTGGTGCACCTCGCTTCTGAGAGTGGGAGAGACAATAACGGCGCCCCGGGGACGACCCCGGGGTAACGCGATTACGCGGCACGGCGCTACTCTCTCTCTCTCTCTCTCTCTCTCTCTCTCTCTCTCTCTCTCGAAGCGGTTCGCCCGGCTTGATTTATCCGCATAGCCACGCGTTATTGCATTAGCGCCCCGACGGCGATGCCCGCCGTCCCTCGCTCGCTTCGCCGGCGACGAATGCGAGAAGTCGTCCGTCCACCCACCCGTGAATCATCTACGGGAGAGTTACGTCTTGCACGCCGCTGCCAGGACGCGGCGATCTATAATTCCCTTTCGCGGTTGGTCAGCGATCCTGGCGCATCTTGGAGTTCTCCCTCGTGGACTAATGTCGTCGGCGAGTATCGAGATGCGACTCTAACGTGCCTCGATGTTTCCTTAAATTCTCTCGTTGAAAAATACGTCATTCTGATAAATCTTTTTCGGGACTTGAATGTGTGCCCTCGCACATACATGAGCATACACGTTAAATCTCGGCTCCGAACTACCGCCCGCTAATTCGAGGAAAGAGCTGGTTCGAGAATAGGTGACAATAAACTATACATTAATGTCGCCTTCTTAATGTTATCGGCGCTGATTAAGCCTCCGATCGCGATTTTGCATCACAGTTCTACGACACGGAGCGCGTCAATCGGGATACAAAGCGAGATTCCCGATCCTGTATACGTTATATTACATATTTCCCGCTGCGTCTTTTACTTTATACACATTGTTGAGTGTCCTTTTGTACTTCTCAGACGCTTCGGCACGTCGCGGATGAAGGAATACACGTGTGTCGTTTTTTAATAATCTATACACGGGCGAATTTCTGCACAGGATAATAATGACACATGTAATTTGTGATTTTAACCGCGTAGATAGCTGCAGCTGGGCAACTAAAGCCATACTTTCTCAGGATCAACTGAATTAAAATTAAACATGGACGCAATTACAATTTCTGAATATTTTATATTTTATATCTATTAAAATTTACCACAGATGTGAAGACTATTTTCGCCCGTATAAAGATCTTAACAAACGAACGACAACAACGAGCGTCCCGATTCGCTTCAACGTAAGATACATATTCTTCTTTACGGCATTAGAAATTGAGCTGACCGCGATTATAGTTCACTTCCGCTCCTTTCTTCTAAATCACACCTCGACGAATGTATGAATCCTCTTCGGAGAGCATACTCACCGCTTTCACCCCCGCACACCTCTTCATCCCCGTTGAGTCCTCTTCGTCCGAGACATACCATCCCGCGACGTAGCGTACCTTACGCGGGCCTGTCGAGCCCTAAGGCCTCCTGGTGTCGCCTCGCCTTCAACCTCAAATCCGCGATGCTGCTGTTCTTCGAGCGGGCTGCCGCGGCGGCCAGCGACGCTGCCAGACTCAACGGATGAGGGGGATGACCGGCCGACGGTGCCGAGGGTGGCGGTGGCGGCAAACAGAAGAGACCGCCAGCCGCTGCGTAGTGTAGGACAGCCGGATCGAAAGCCGAGCCCACTGTCACACTCGCGGCACCTGTTCCCTGCATCGGCGGCGGCGGATGCAATCTGAGCGCCGGCAGATATGGTGCTACCCGGCACGGTTCCAACGTCGTCGGCGGGCTACGCGGTGCCAGTACCATACTCCCAGCGACGCCTGCGAAAAGATTTAAATTTCAAGAATCTGATCTGAATCCTTCCCGATTGATCCCTCAATCCCGATTGAGCCTGAACCAGCAGACTTATGATACAAAATTTATATTTTTCCGTTTGATTTAATTTATATATATAATATTTCTCTCTGGATATCTCTATAGTCAAATTTTGTAAAAAAAATTCCCTGGAAATTCTTTGATCTTACAGATATTTTTATTCAAAATTCCAGGTAAAGAGAATATTTTAAAAATTGTTTCTGTTTGCAACAGCTTATTTCACCTTTATGCAATTGGCTCTCGTGCTTACGGCACTTGGCGCGTCGATTCTGGAACCAGACTTGCACCCTCGCTTCGCTGAGACCGAGTCGCTGACTTAACTCTTCTCTCATGAACGCGTCAGGATAGTGCGTCTCGTCAAAGAGTCTCTCGAGCTCGGCCAACTGCTCAATGGTAAAGTTCGTTCGCGATCTCCTCTGCTTGCCGTTGCCGTTTCCGTTGTTCCGACAATTGGATCCTATAAAATTAACTATTAGCGAGCAAACGTGAAAAAAACACCTTACATAAAGTTAAAACTAAAAAAAATAATTATTATCTCTCCTCGCCCCTTCTATTATTTTAAAAATGATACCATAGAATGAGAAAGAGAAAGAGAGAGAGAGAAAGAGAGAGAGAGAGAGAGAATTCGTCGATCGGAAACTTCTCCTGTCGAGAATAGAAATCCGAATGTCGTGAGTCATCATCGGAAACGTGAAGCGAGAAAAAGAGAAGGGTGGTTTTCGTCGCGCGATGATTAATTCACGGGGACGAATGCGCGACCGGCGAACGACCAGATCGAAGAGCGACGTGCTACCAAATTGATCTCCGCCAAGTAGTTCACGGACCATTTCTTTCACAGTCTGGACGCCATCAACATATATCTTGCCACCTTATGAGAATCTTATTCAAATCGAGATGCCGGATACGGCGTCTCTAATTGGATGACATTAGACAAACGTACCTCGCATCTCTCGCGAGGGAGATGCAACGACGCGGAAGTTATTTTTCTCCCCGACACCAACTAAAGAACTATAAAACTATGAGTATAAAAGCTGATTTTTATATTCATACGCAGTGTGAATTGTATATAGAGCGTGTACGAGAGCGTGTTAATTGCGTGTTAAACCTGCATGGTATCGCATCGAGAGCATCCTCGCGCGGAAGATTCCATCGGACAGATGCAGAAAGGCGAAGGTGGAGGGTGATTAAGGTGAGAGTACGAGCTTTCCTCTCCCTCCCCCCTCCCCAGCCCTTCGTCCCAGCGGAGAGGGTGGGGATGACTAACGACCCGGTATAAGACTGCGTAGCTCACCACTTTGCTAAATTATATAAATCACATCCCCTTCGTCAAGGGCTCTTACGCGAGACACTTAATCCACCTCTGTCCCCCTTCCTCTCCCTTCTCGTCCGGATTTCCTCGCCTCTTTTACGTCGGCAACACCTCGAAGAGCCGTAGTACCGTAGTTACTTTACATTAAGCGACCATTAATTAAATCGTATGGCCGTTAATTATCCGTGAGCGTCTCTCTAACTCGCGGCGATGCTTGCGGCCGCTCTAATACGATGCGCCGAGAAAGTTCTTCGCGCGTCGGCATCCTCTCGTCCTTCTTTCAAGATAGTTATCCTATTTTTTTGCCCGTTCAAACATCCTTTATATATATGCGCTTTTATCATCTTTTCTCATCGTTCTTGATAATTTTTACAAATTTTAAAAGACCTGAAAGTAAAATTATGAATGAAAGAAAATTAATGAAATAAACAAGGATCAAATAATAATTTGTAAATCTTTATAGAATCTATAATAATCAGATTATCCTATTTTTCTTCACAATATTAATCATTTTTACAATATATTGAGAATATTAAGAATTAAAAATCATGATAATTATATTTAAAAAAAAAAAAAAAAAAAAAAAAACGAAACGAAGCGTTTTACGCAGTCTACGCGGACGCTTTTACGCGCCGGCGCGATCGCCATGCGGCATTGCGTACGCGGCCCCGTTTTAATCAATTAACGCGTATCCGCGTAATCCAATCTGAACCCTGAGGCTGGATACGCACAGCCCGCATCCATATGTACAGCGGCGGTTTAAAACCACTTCCCCTTTCCGCTCCAAAATAACTTGCGCGGTTTTCGACGCCCCTCGTCCGCGCCCGCGTTAGCATAAACCCACGGGGAGCAACACATACGCGCCTTGTCGCAGTCATTAACTCGAACGTGTCAGTTGTTTATTCCCGTGAGGGAGAAAATCGGCATCGTCAGAATTCCCGCTTTATTCTTCACACTTTCGTCATTTTATAAAATGTTACTTTCTGCGAGAAGATATAGTAAATTATAATATTACAATTATATATGTCATAATAATGATGATAATAATTATAATTATTATTATATAATAAAAATAATTATAATATATAAGAAATAAGTATAATGTATGTCAACTTCGGCAATCAACATTTTTTTAGGGATTCTACGATGTTTTCCAAATCCGAAATAACACATTTCCTTAAATCATCTTGTCCGTATCATTCGAGTATATCTCGAACGTCTCAGTTCGAGGTGCAAAATCGTAGCTGCCGAACGTTAACCGATACTTCGTACAGATCGAGACAGCGAGAGAGATTCTACAGCGAAATAGGAGACAGATAGCACCGAACCCTGCTGGAAAACCCAAAGCAATCACACTCGGACGCAAGGGGTCACTAATTCGATTACTAAGAGCGCTGCCCTCTTGGCCTGATCCAGTTAAGCCACCCTCGGACCGGCCACCACCTTGGCTATACTATTTTTCTCCCTCCAAAACGAGCCGAGATACCGCGGCCATTAGACGTATAAAAGCGTCGTCGTATCCCAAGTATCGTAGTCGCTGCATATGGCACACTGTCCCATGAATACGCAAGAAGCAGAGGGGGGCTTTTAAATCTGCAATCACTTATCGCTTAATGAAGCAAAGTGGCCCGCGTGCCGCTTGTACCCTTCGAGCAGTTTAACCGCTTGTCGCATAATTCTTTCCAAATTTGAGTAATCATAGAATCACTTGACATCTGCAAAATATATATATATGTAGTTAGTTATACTATTTAGTTAACTTTCTCTTTCTCTTTTTAATTAATTTAAATTTAATTACCAAATTTGAATAAATTACCAAAATTGAATAGTTAATCATAACTGTAAATTATAATATCTTTAAATATTGTTTTCACAAAACGAGCGCTTCGCATCTTAATATTTTCGCCCGCAGCAGTTTTATATTTATGCAAATATATATTTTAAAGCTACACACACACACACACACA